CTAAAGAAAAAGTTAGTTAGTTAGTTAGTTAGTTAGTTAGTTAGTTAGTTAGTTAGTTAGTTAGTTAGTTAGTTAGTTAGTTAGTTAGTTATTGTAGTAGTTAGTTAGTTAGTAGTTAGTTAGTAGTTAGTTAGTTAGTTAGTTAGTTAGTTAGTTAGTTAGTTAGTTAGTTAGTTAGTTAGTTAGTTAGTTAGTTAGTTAGTTAGTAGTTAGTAGTTAGTTAGTTAGTTAGTTAGTTAGTTAGTTAGTTAGTAGTTAGTTAGTTAGTTAGTTAGTTAGTTAGTTAGTTAGTTAGTTAGTTAGTAGTTAGTTAGTTAGTAGTTAGTTAGTTAGTTAGTAGTAGTTAGTTAGTTAGTTAGTTAGTTAGTTAGTTAGTTAGTAGTTAGTTAGTTAGTTAGTTAGTTAGTAGTTAGTTAGTTAGTTAGTTAGTAGTTAGTTAGTTAGTTAGTTAGTTAGTTAGTAGTTAGTTAGTTAGTTAGTTAGTAGTTAGTTAGTTAGTTAGTTAGTTAGTTGTTAGTTAGTTAGTTAGTAGTTAGTTAGTTCGTAGTGGTTAGTCGTTAGTTAGTTAGTTAGTAGTTAGTAGTAGTTAGTAGTAGTTAGTTAGTTAGTTCGTTAGTTAGGTTAGTTAGTTAGTTAGTTAGTTAGTTAGTTTAGTTAGTTAGTTAGTTAGTTAGTTAGTTAGTTAGTTAGTTAGGTTAGTTGGTGAGTTAGTTAGTTAGTTATAGTTAGTTAGGTAGTTAGTTAGTTAGGTTAGTTAGTAGTTAGAGTTAGTTAGTTAGTTAGTTAGTAGTTAGTTAGTTAGTTAGTTAGTAGTTAGTAGTTAGTTAGTTAGTTAGTTGTAGTTAGTTCGTAGTTAGTTAGTTAGTTAGTTAGTTATTTTAGTAGTTAGTTAGTTAGTTAGTTAGTTAGTTAGTTAGTTAGTTAGTTAGTTAGTTAGTAGTTAGTTAGTTAGTAGTTAGTTCGTTAGTTAGTTAGTTAGTTAGTTAGTTAGTTAGTTAGTTAGTAGTTAGTTAGTAGTTAGTTAGTTTAGTTAGTTAGTTAGTTAGTTAGTTAGTTAGTTAGTTAGTAGTTAGTTAGTTAGTTAGTTAGTTAGTTAGTTAGTTAGTTAGTTAGTTAGTTAGTTAGTTAGTTAGTTAGTTAGTTAGTAGTTAGTTAGTTAGTTAGTTAGTTAGTAGTTAGTTAGTTAGTAGTTAGTTAGTTAGTTAGTTAGTAGTTAGTTAGTTAGTTAGTTAGTTAGTAGTTAGTTAGTTAGTTAGTTAGTTAGTTAGTTAGTTAGTTAGTTAGTTAGTTAGTTAGTTAGTTAGTTAGTTAGTAGTTAGTAGTTAGTTTTAGTTAGTTAGTTAGTTAGTTAGTTAGTTAGTTAGGTTAGTTAGTTAGTTAGTTAGTTAGTTAGTTAGTTAGTTAGTTAGTTAGTTAGTTAGTTAGTTAGTTAGTTAGTTAGTAGTTAGTTAGTTAGTAGTAGTTAGTTAGTTAGTAGTTAGTTAGTTAGTTAGTTAGTTAGTTAGTTATAGTTAGTTAGTAGTTAGTTAGTTAGTAGTTAGTTAGTAGTTAGTTAGTTAGTTTAGTTAGTAGTTAGTAGTTAGTTAGTTAGTAGTAGTAGTTAGTTAGTTAGTTAGTTAGTTAGTTAGTTAGTTAGTTAGTTAGTTAGTTAGTTAGTTAGTTAGTTAGTTAGTTAGTTAGTAGTTAGTTAGTTAGTAGTTAGTTATTAGTTAGTTAGTTAGTTAGTTAGTTAGTAGTTAGTTAGTTAGTTAGTAGTTAGTTAGTTAGTTAGTTAGTTAGTTAGTTAGTAGTTAGTTAGTTAGTTAGTTAGTTAGTTAGTTAGTTAGTTAGTTAGTTAGTAGTTAGTTAGTTAGTTAGTTAGTAGTTAGTTAGTTAGTTAGTTAGTAGTTAGTTAGTTAGTAGTTAGTTAGTTAGTTAGTTAGTTAGTTAGTAGTTAGTTAGTTAGTTAGTAGTTCGTTAGTTAGTTAGTTAGTTAGTTAGTTAGTTAGTTACTTTGTTAGTTAGTTAGTTACTTAGTTAGTTACTTAGTTACTTAGTTAGTTACTTAGTTAGTTACTTAGTTAGTTACTTAGTTAGTTACTTAGTTAGTTACTTAGTTAGTTACTTAGTTAGTTACTTAGTTAGTTGTTTGTTTATTCGTTTGTTTAATTAAAAAATATTCCTTTTTCCCAGTGATCCCGAACCTCAAATTATGGATCATGTTACACAACAACTAAAACTTTTCCCCGAAATCGCTACCGGCTTGGCCTACCACATGTCAGCCGAACACATGTGGGAATTGTACAATCAAACTGTTGAAGAAATCAATAATGGCAAATATACCCGTTTACCCGAGATGCATGCCTTATCGTGTGCCCTCAAAGTACTCTGTACTACCGATGCCTGTGCGGGTATTGAACGATTACGTTTAGCTTGTGGTGGTCATGGTTTTTTGACTGCTGCCAATATTGGAAATATTTATGGCAATGCTGTGGCGGCCTACACATATGAAGGAGAAAATACGGTTCTCTTACTGCAAATAGCAAGATTTTTAATGAAATCCTGGTCTTACTTAAGTGAAGGCAAACCTATGTTGGCAAGTGTTGAGTACTTAAAGCAGGGCTTACAAACAGACTCGTTGCCCAAGTGGGACAATTCGTGGGAGTGTATTGTTAATGCTTTACAATATACGGCAGCGCAGTAAGTATTAATTGGTTATATTTTATTGCATTAAAACTTAACCTAAATTTTTGTCACATTTTAGTAAAACCCGTTTGGCCTTTGAAAGCCTCTCGCGTAGAATGCTGGCAGGACAAACTCAACCAGAAGCTTTCAATAACAGTGGCATAGCACTTATACAAGCAGCTGAGGTATTATTATCCCCTTGATTTATATAAATAAGTTAATAACAAAATCTATATATTTTCTTTACATAACAGCTTCATGGACGTCAATTTGTGGCCGCCACCTTCCTACAACAAATCACTGGTCCCAAAACTTCCCAACTCTCCAAGAATGCCAAATCATTTTTAGAAGCTTTATTGGAATTGTATTTAGTTAAAACCGCTCTAACACATATGAACGATATTTTACGTTTCATTAATGTTAGCGAACATGATTTGCAGTCCCTGCAAGATCGCTTGGAATTGGCTTTAACGAAAATACGTCCCAATGTAGTGGCTTTCACTGATGGTTTCGATTTTCCAGATGGTGTTTTGAATTCGGTTTTGGGTTCTTACGATGGCAATGTTTATGAACGTCTTTTCGAATCGGCTAAAATGAGTCCTTTAAATCAAAAGCCCGTACCAGATTCATTTGAGAAGCATTTAAAACCATTTATGAAATCGAAATTGTAAAATGCATTTATTTTATTTGTAAATTATTTATGTACAATTGTATATGTACAGTGGTGGCCATGAGGTTAGCACATTTGGTATCTGTTAAATATAAAATCAAATATTTCCTATAGTTCTTAACTTTTTTAACAAATTCTTTTTTATGCGTAACACATGTCCTTCGAGGATCACGACACATTACATTTTGTTCCACTACTTTGTTGCATGTAGATTTTTTTCTTTCCAAAGTACATCTACCCCCAAAAAAATCTGGACATAAGTTTAGCACAAAATTAAAAAATCATTAAAAAATTAAAAATAAAACAAAACAACCGGTTATATTTATCTTATTGCACTTAAGATTTTATATTTTGTGGAATAGTTGCAGATTTTGATAATATCATTCCTCCTCCTGGACATAATCTTCACCAGAACCCTCTAGAAATTTCAGCCCATAAATTGGCAAAATTCTTGGTGATTTCTGCTTTTATTTGTTGGTCCATATTATGTTATATGTTCTCTATTGAATTGGAATCGAGAAAATATACTGGGCACTGCAAACATGACAATCCCGGTCGCTTCCAAGCAGCTCATCTCAGCACTTTTAGCATATTTACGGTCGATGTCGACCAAAAAACGCCATCTTTGTCCTCCGATTTTTTTAATAAAGTATTTAAGATCCTATTTTGATAGTCATACGGATCCACTTCTGCATCCAACATCAATATAGGACCAACAGCATGCCAAGAAAATGCAATGAATACCATGAAATTTCCCCCCATTGTGATATATGATTTCTCTGGAACACTTTAGCTTTATCTGCATGATTGGAGGATACTAGTTGAAGATTAATAGGATCAAATTTGATGGAAAAATGTAATTATGCTGTACTCCAAACATGCAGCAACAACCAAAGTGTACATTTAAAACCATAAAACACAATGGGTGAAATATGACGAATTCGGAGGCGTTTTCCGGGCTAGTGGAGGTTCTATACGCAAGGTGGATGCACAAATGGATCAGTATGACTATCAAAATAGACTCTTAAATATTTTAGTAAAAAAATGAGTGGACAAAAGTTCAGTTAAATGGCGTTTTTTGGTCGACAATGACCCAAAATATGTTAAAAGTACAGAGAGGAGCTTCTTGGAAGCGAGCGAGATTGACATGTTTGCAGCCCCCAGAATAATTTCTAGATCCCAATCCAATAGGGAACATATTAAACGAAATGGTGCAACAAATAAAACACAAATTCCTAAGAATTTTGCCTATTTATGGGCTGAAAGTTAAAATTTATGTCATGAAATTTCTAGTGGGTTCTGGTGAAGATTATGTCCAGGAGAAGAAATGATATTATCAAAATGTGCAACTGTTCTACAAAATATAAAATTTTAAGTGAAATTACATAAAATTATCCAGTTTCTTTGCTTTATTTTTAATTTTTAATGATTTTTTTATTTTGTGCTAAACTTATGTCCAGATTTTTTTTGGGGTAGATGTACTTTGGAAAGAAAGAAATCTATCTGCAACAAAGTAGTGGAACAAAATGTAATGTGTCGTGATCCTCGAAGGACATGTGTTACGCATAAAAAAGAATTTGTTAAAAAAGTTAAGAACTATAGGAAATATTTGATTTTATATTTAACAGATACCAAATGTGCTAACCTCATGGCCACCACTGTATGTATATTTGTGTATCTTTTACATTTTTTTGTAATTTATATCTACATTATTTTAATGTAAATAAATTTAATCCAAATCTAGAATGAAAAAGATGTTAACGGGAATCGGAAATTTATTGACTTGATGAGGATGCAATAGTGCTTTTTAGAAGAGTATCACATAAAGATTGTCTTATAGTTCGTACCATTGTTGACCCCAAATTGGTTCTATAGTTCATAAATCTTGTAACATGCTCTTTGACAAAATTCTATATTTCGTAACAACATTAATCACTGTACTTTATCCTGGTAGGATAACTAACTAACTAACTAACTAACTACTAACTAACTAACTAACTAACTAACTAACTAACTAACTAACTAACTAACTAACTAACTACTAACTAACTAACTAACTACTAACTAACTAACTAACTAACTAACTAACTAACTAACTAACTAACTAACTAACTAACTAACTAACTAACTAACTAACTTAACTAACTAACTAACTAACTAACTAACTAACTAACTAACTAACTACTAACTAACTAACTAACTAACTACTAACTAACTAACTAACTACTAACTAACTAACTAACTAACTAACTAACTAACTAACTAACTAACTAACTAACTAACTAACTAACTAACTAACTAACGAACTACACTAAACTAACTAACTACTAACTAACTAACTAACCACGAACTAACCAACTAACTAACTAACTAACTAACTAACTAACTAACTAACTAACTAACTAACTAACTACTAACTACTAACTAACTACTAACTACTAACTAACTAACTACTAACTAACTAACTACTAACTACTAACTAACTAACTAACTAACTAACTAACTAACTAACTAACTAACTAACTACCTAACTAACTACTAACTAACTAACTAACTAACTAACCACTAACTAACTACTAACTAACTACTAACTAACTAACTAACTAACTAACTAACTAACTAACTAACTAACTACTAACTAACTAACTAACTAACTAACTAACTACTAACTAACTAACTAACTAACTAACTAACTAACTAACTAACTACCTAACTAACTAACTAACTAACTAACTAACTACTAACTACTACTAACTAACTAACTAACTAACTAACTAACTACTAACTAACTAACTAACTAACAACTAACACTACTAACTACTAACTAACTAACTAACTAACTAACTAACTAACTAACTAACTAACTAACTAACTAACTAACTAACTAACTACTAACTAACTAACTACTAACTAACTAACTAACTAACTAACTACTAACTAACTAGCTAACTAACTAACTAACTAACTAACTAACTAACTAACTAACTAACTAACTAACTAACTAACTAACTAACTAACTAACTAACTAACTAACTAACTAACTAACTAACTAACTAACAACTAACTAACTACTAACTAACTAACTAATTAACTAACTAACTAACTAACTACTAACTAACTAACTAACTAACTAACTAACTAACTAACTAACTAACTAACTAACTAACTAACTAACTACTAACTAACTAACTAACTAACTAACTAACTAACTAACTAACTAACTAACTAACTAACTAACTACTAACTAACTAACTAACTAACTAACTAACTAACTAACTAACTAACTAACTAACTAACTAACTAACTACAACTACTAACTAACTAACTAACTAACTAACTAACTAACTAACTAACTAACTACTAACTAACTACTAACTACTAACTAACTAACTAACTAACTAACTAACTAACTAACTAACTAACTAACTAACTAACTAACTAACTAACTAACTAACTAACTAACTAACTAACTAACTACTACTAACTAACTAACTACCTAACTAACTAACTAACTAACTAACTAACTAACTACTAACTAACTAACTAACTAACTAACTAACTAACTAACTACTAACTAACTAACTAACTAACTAACCTAACTAACTAACTAACGAACTAACTACTAACTAACTAACTAACTAACTAACTAACTACTAACTAACTACTAACTACTAACTAACTAACTAACTAACTACTAACTAACTACTAACTAACTAACTAACTACTACTACTAACTAACTACTAACTAACTAACTAACTAACTAACTAACTAACTAACTACTACTAACTAACTACTAACTAACTAACTAACTAACTAACTAACTAACTAACTAACTAACTAACTAACTAACTAACTAACTAACTAACTAACTAACTAACTAACTAACTAACAAGTTAGCTAAACACGGATCGAGGAACCCAATTTAGGAAATAAGGCCCATAACATTTTATCACCTATGCTTGCTTGGGTTGAATGGGGTCTAGGTAAAATAATGGATCGATTCCAACCATAAAGGCTTCGTCCGTGGACTAACTAACACAAATATTCCAAATTTCTTCAAAATACTTGAAAATTGAAGTCAGTACATTTTTTACATGGCCTGCCAGCCGGACGGACACGTCTTAATCGACCCAGATAGTGATTATAAGTCGATCGGTATACTTTTAGGAGGGTTTAGGACTCATATTTTTGTACATTACAAACATCAGCACAAACGCATAATATCGTCCCCACTCTGGTGGTGTGGGGTATAAATATGATGTAAGTATTGAAATAAACTTTTTCTACTAACAAGTTTAACCTAGGGTTCTATAGTTGAAACGAAAAGTCGACTTTTCGACTTTTCGACTTTTTGCATTTAGTTAAAAGTCGACTTTTCGACCTTTCGACTTTTTCCATTTTATGAAAAGTCGATTTTTCGACTTTTCGACCTTTTTCATTTATTTAAAAGTCGACTTTTAGACTTTTCGACTTTTAGTATTATATAAATGGTCGACTTTTCGACTTTTTCCGACTTTTTTTCGACTTTTTCCGACTTTTTTCGACTTTTTTCGACTTTTCGACTTTTCGACTTTTCGACTTTTTTCGACTTTTCGACTTTTTTTCGACTTTTTCCGACTTTTTTTCAACTTTTCGACTTTTTCCGACTTTTCGACTTTTCGATTTTTTACGATTTTTTGACTATTTTCGACTTATTTCGACTTTTTTTCGACTTTTTTCGACTATTTTTTACTTTTTTCGAGTTTTTCCGACTATTTTAGAGTTTTTGACCTCTTTTCCACTTTTTTAAAATTTTCGACTTTTCGACTTTTTTCGACTTTTCGACTTTTTCCGACTTTTTTCGACTTTTCGACTTTTTTCGACTTTTCGACTTTTTTCGACTTTTCGACTTTTCGACTTTTTTCGACTTTTATTTACAAAGTCGACTTTTCGACTTTTTTCATAGACGATAGTCGAGTTATCGACTTTTTTGGAACAAAATAGTCGACTTCGACTTTTCGACTTTTTTCGACAAAAAGTCGATTGTTCGATTATTCGAAAGTCGATTTATAGAACCCTAGTTTAACCTAACTAAAACCTTTAACCCTCAGTGGACAATACATTTTCTTATCACTTTTTTAAGAGAACATAAAATAAAACAATAAAACTTTATAAGAGATAGGGTAAATTTGTTTTGCTAAGAGTGTACCTATAATATACATATATTTTATAGCTCTTTG